TTTTCATCATTTCTTACTATACTATCTACTTTCGCTTCCAATATTTGTACTTTATCTACTTTTTTCTTGAAGTACCTTCATTTCTTTTCTTAATTCTTTTAATTCTGTCTCAGTATTTATAAATCTATTTCTTAGTATCTCATATTCCTTAAGCTGATTTTCCATGAGAGCTTTCATTTCTAAGCGAAGCTCCCCCAATCGCTTCCATAATCCTGTCTTCTTTAACAACCTTGTATGTTATTATGGGGCCGATAATGCTCGGGACGAGCATGACTTAGGAGGGGGCAGTATTGAATTTGGCGAGACAAGCGAAAATTCGGAGCGAAATAAAGTGAATCAGTGTGATTAATTATTAGTGCCTTTTAAGTTTTAATTAGTGTCAAGTGAATTGAAGTGTTAATTTTGTAAATTAAAAACCCTAAGCTCGTAACAATAATAAAGCCATATTAAAAAAGTGTTTTAATAATAAATTATTTATATTTTGCCAATTAATAAAATTTAAAAAAATGCTTCTTATTTAAACATTTTTTTTATAATATGGTCCTGTGCGAGTGGAAAAGTTGACGAAAGGCGACGACCTCTTAATTAAAACGGACCTAGTTCGGCCACTGAGGGACCTCTAGTAATAATAAATAAGAATAGTATGACACTCCACTCTTACGTAGGTACGTCAGAATAACATTTCACCGTAGTCGGTTAAGTTATGTGAACAGCCTTTATAACATTCCAGTGTGTGACATAACACACACCATAACACACGTAACGAACTGGAACAAACACGCTCGAAAATTTAAAACTCAACAACGAATACCGGTCATAAATCATGCGCAATTTACTGAATAAAACTTGACATACACTGGTAATTGACTATAAATTTCGAATCAGAAACCTAGTAAACGATATCTTTGTAATTCTCACGTAGAATTCACATATACGCTGCCCAAAACTTGTGCTCTAAATTATGGAACTTACAATTGTTTACGGTCACGACTACAAATTAAAAAAATATGTCAAAACTGACATTTGACAGTAACCCTACGGCATTGCCTCATCGAAATTAGGTAAATAATGTTGTTTAATGTTGAAAATAAAAAATCTACCCCATATCGAATCGGCGTACACACTGGATAACTTTTATTTATTTATTTATTTGTATGGATCTCCAACAGTTGTACATATTAAATTACTTCTAACACATGCTTTACATCTATAAATTACTATGTACTACCAATTATAGGAGAACACATCATTCTAAAACAATAGCAGTGTTTATAATTTGCCTATTTTAATGGTAGTTGGAACAAAAATAAGTTTTACGAACAAAAGAAAGTTAATAGTTTTTGTAACATAAATAAAAGTTAAGTTTTGGAGACACAAATTAGAATAAGATTTTTTTCCACTAGCATTGTATTATTGCAATAATTTATACATTATCACACGGCATCTTTATTGCTTTCAAAGTAAACTACAATTTTAAAACCATAATGCTATATTATTTTATTGTGTTGCATTTTTTCGTCCCGTAAGTTGATAGCTGCATATCAAAATAAAGCTGCATACAAAATTTATTTGTATGTAGCTTTATTTTGTTGATTCAAAAATATTTTTTATGTTTGTAAGCCTCTTGAATATTATAGTTATTTCTACATTATTCTAAACATGATTATCAATGTTTTATTAATTAATAATATTATCATACTTTTTGTTAGCGTATGGTATTCACAATCAAACATGGGCTTACTTTTTTTCATTTATGACTTAAAACCGTAAGCCTCAGAGAAAATTAAAAAATATATATATTAACTTTAGCCTCTCAGTATATTTACGAAAATTTTACTTATGTATTTCTGTAAACACCAGGAACAAACACAAACTGGTGATGCCAGTTACTCGTCTTCACAAAGACTAGTTTATACATTGTACAATGTACACGCTATTACAACAAAGTCCCAGAAAATATGCAAGGCCTCTTTTAGAAAGTTTAATTACAATACAATATAAATGATAACACGGGTAATACGCTTCTCAGAATTTTTTTTATATAAATGTTGTATATAACAATTTTACGACCTATTTTATTTTGTATATAATGTTACTGTGGAAAAATCCCGCTAGGTTTCTTGCTTGTTCACCCCAGGACAGAGGTTTTTCCGGATCAGTAGTAAAATAAAGAAATTACTTTCAATAAGAATTATTTATAATTTTATATGGTAGGGACATTATTATATTCTATTCTATTCGATAGTATAATTAAAAGTGATGTGTATAAATAAAGCTTTCCACTATCGCATCTTTTCGTGGGTGTCGTATGAGGCGACAGAGGGAAACTGAGACAGGAGATGGGCAGCGGTATCTTTCTGATAACAGCAAAACTACAATAAAAAATGCGGTTACCAACTCGCTTGACTAAGTGGTAACTATGGCAAACATCCCCCTATGAGCAACGAAATAAAGAAACGGCCTCCTGTCGCTGACGGTGGTGACCATGGTAACGGCGGGGCTAAAAATTTGCTAACAATTTCCGTTGCTATTTAAGACGACACGACCTGGCAACATTCAACGCATGTACCCTGAGGACTGATGAGAAGAGATCCTGGAGCTGGAAGAAGAGATAGACTACTCAGATTGTGGGATTATCTGAGGAGCGGGGAGAACATGGCAATCCTCGAATCCGGTAACTTGTTCTATCACCGGGATGGCATCATCTGTCCCAAGGCGGTATCGGATTTATCGTCCACAAGTCCCTCGTTAACAACGTTGTTAAATTGGTACTGTCGTCGAAAGTTGCGTACCTTATAACTTAGAATCACCTAACCGTATTCGTTTAAAATCATACAGGTTTACTCACCAACCTCGGCACATCCCGATGAGGATTTAAGCGTGCAGCTCGTATAGAAGAAGCGATCGAGCGGAACCAAAGCTCCAAAGTCTAGGCCAAAGATCTGTCTGGCAGTAAGAGCCAACTGTCGAATCTGAAGACCGAATGTGATAGCATCGTATGCGGGACACCTAAGATTTTGAATGCGATTGAGAGGTTCTTCAGGCAGCTGTACACGTCATCGTTGGAGACTCACACAAATGTGAGTAATGATCCAAGAGCAAGTCTTATCCGACATTATTCCGACGATATCCCGTACGTCTGTCTGAGCGAGATTAGAATGGCTCTGCTGCACCTTTTAAACGGCAAGGCCTCCGGCGAGGATAGAATTTCAGCGGAGCTCCTTAAAGCGTGTGGAAAACCAGTACTTGAATTCAGAAGCTCTTCTATTCCGTCTTCCACGGTGGCACTACTCCGTAGTGTAGTAAAAGTGCGGTAGTCTCGTTCCCAAGAAAGGCGACAACGTTCTCTTGAAGAACTACGGACCGAATTCCCTCCTAAACCGCGTCTACGTGCTGTTTTCGAGAATCATTACGAATTGTCTTGCACGCAGACTCGACGACTTCTAGCATCTCTAACAAACCGGTTTCCGAAAAGGCTTTAGTACCATAGATGGACAATCTACCACTTTGCTATGCATATGTGGACTATGAGAAAGCCTTTGATTTCGTTGAAACTTGGGCGAAACTTTAGTCCCTTCAGTTGTGCCAAGTTGAATGTCGGTACATCAAATGCTGAAGTGTTGTGAAACAGTAGGGTTACGATGGCTATCCGAGTACAGAACCAAAGTACAAAACCCATCCAACTGCAGAGAGGTGTAAGACAGGGTAACGTGCCGGTAGTTGTTGCGAGCACTACGCTCGAAGTTGTCGACGAGGATAATTGGACTTAATCAGACAAATAGTCCGACTAAGTAAGTCCAATTTAGGCTGAGAGGTCATTCGAGGAATTCAACTTGGCTGGACAGCGTTCAAGAGATTACGACACATCTTCTCGTCAGTTACCTGAAATCAAGATTGTACAACTAGTGCGAGTTGCTAGTGATGACTTATGGATCTGAATCGTGGTCCTTCACTGCTGGCTGTATAAGAACTATGGGGTTTTTTCCGTGATAGAATTAAAAATGAGGATTTCCGCACTAGAACCAAAGTAACCGACATAGCCCAACGGATTAATAAGCTGATTTGGCAAAGACCGGCCGGTCATATAGGTCGAAGAACCGACAACCGATGGGAAAAAAAGGTTCTCGAGTGGCAGCCTCGTATCGGTAGGCGTAGTGTAGGGTGGCCCCCCTACTAGATGGAGTGATGACCTGGTAAGACATACAGAAAATCGATGGATGGCATTCAAGGCATTCTTTGGGGAGACTGATGCTCAGCAGTGGATTTCACGCAGGATTTGCTTCAGTCTGAACGTGCCTTTATTTACGTGATCGTCTTAATTCATGGTCCGTACATGGCAGGTACCTAAAGCACGTGGTGCTACGGTTCCTGACGGCGCGCGAGCTAGAGGCGCGGCAGCTGACGCGCGCGCTCGCCGCGCTGCTGCGCCTGTCCGCGCACGAGGAGGCCTTGCTGCGCGCCGCGCTGCCGCCGCGCTCCGGCCTTGCCGCCTGGCTGCCCTCGCTCAACACTTGAGCCACGTACGTTAGTACACGTGCGAGATACGAGATACGCTGCTGCGCACGAGGAGGCCTTGCTGCGCGCCGCGCAGCCGCCGCGCTCCGGCCTCGACGCCTGGCTGCTCTCGCTCAACACTTGAGCCACGTACGTAAGTACACGTGCGAGATACGAGATACGCTGCTGCGCACGAGGAGGCCTTGCTGCGCGCCGCGCTGCCGCCGCGCTCCGGCCTCGATGCCTGGCTGCCCTCGCTCAACACTTGAGCCACGTACGTAAGTACACGTGCGAGATACGAGATACTCTGCTGCGCACGAGGAGGCCTTGCTGCGCGCTGCGCTGCCGTCGCGCTTCGGCCTCGCCGCCTGGCTGCCCTCGCTCAACACTTGAGCCACGTACGTAAGTACACGTGCGAGATACGAGATACGCTGCTGCGCACGGTAAGGCCTTGCTGCGCGCTGCGCAGCCGCCGCGCTCCGGCCTCGATGCCTGGCTGCCCTCGCTCAACACTTGAGCCACGTACGTAAGTACACGTGCGAGATACGAGATACGCTGCTGCGCACGAGGAGGCCTTGCTGCGCGCCGCGCTGCCGCCGCGCTCCGGCCTCGATGCCTGGCTGCCCTCGCTCAACACTTGAGCCACGTACGTAAGTACACGTGCGAGATACGAGATACGCTGCTGCGTACGAGGAGGCCTTGCTGCGCGCCGCGCTGCCGCCGCGCTCCGGCCTCGATGCCTGGCTGCCCTCGCTCAACACTTGAGCCACGTACGTAAGTACACGTGCGAGATACGAGATACGCTGCTGCGCACGAGGAGGCCTTGCTGCGCGCTGTGCGTGCCGCCGCGCTTCGGCCTCGCCGCCTGGCTGCCCTCGCTCAACACTTGAGCCACGTACGTAAGTACACGTGCGAGATACGAGATACGCTGCTGCGCACGAGGAGGCCTTGCTGCGCGCCGCGCAGCCGCCTCGCTCCGGCCTCAATGCCTGGCTGCCCTCGCTCAACACTTGAGCCACGTACGTAAGTACACGTGCGAGATACGAGATACGCTGCTGCGCACGAGGAGGCCTTGCTGCGCGCTGCGCTGCCGCCGCGCTTCGGCCTCGCCGCCTGGCTGCCCTCGCTCAACACTTGAGCCACGTACGTAAGTACACGTGCGAGATACGAGATACGCTGCTGCGCACGGTAAGGCCTTGCTGCGCGCTGCGCTGCCGCCGCGCTCCGGCCTCGATGCCTGGCTGCCCTCGCTCAACACTTGAGCCACGTACGTAAGTACACGTGCGAGATACGAGATACGCTGCTGCGCACGAGGAGGCCTTGCTGCGCGCCGCGCAGCCGCCGCGCTCCGGCCTCGATGCCTGGCTGCCCTCGCTCAACACTTGAGCCACGTACGTAAGTACACGTGCGAGATACGAGATACGCTGCTGCGCACGAGGAGGCCTTGCTGCGCGCTGTGCTGCCGCCGCGCTCCGGCCTCGTCGCCTGGCTGCCCTCGCTCAACACTTGAGCCACGTACGTAAGTACACGTGCGAGATACGAGATACGCTGCTGCGCACGAGGAGGCCTTGCTGCGCGCTGCGCTGCCGCCGCGCTCCGGCCTCGCCGCCTGGCTGCCCTCGCTCAACACTTGAGCCACGTACGTAAGTACACGTGCGAGATACGAGATACGCTGCTGCGCACGAGGAGGCCTTGCTGCGCGCTGCGCTGCCGCCGCGCTCCGGCCTCGCCGCCTGGCTGCCCTCGCTCAACACTTGAGCCACGTGCGTAAGTACACGTGCGAGATACGAGATACGCTGCTGCGCACGAGGAGGCCTTGCTGCGCGCCGCGCTGCCGCCGCGCTCCGGCCTCGATGCCTGGCTGCCCTCGCTCAACACTTGAGCCACGTACGTAAGTACACGTGCGAGATACGAGATACGCTGCTGCGCACGAGGTGGCCTTGCTGCGCGCTGCGCTGCCGCCGCGCTCCGGCCTCGCCGCCTGGCTGCCCTCGCTCAACACTTGAGCCACGTACGTAAGTACACGTGCGAGATACGAGTTACGAGACAATGCACCTCATGAACAGGACTCCTGTTTCAGTTTTGCAGCACCTTTCTGATAGCAACTCAAAATTATATAAACGTCGGTTGCCAAAATGCCTGCCAGGTTGGCAACTATGGCAAATTTCCCCTATGAGACAATCTATTGGAGAGGCCTATATTCAGGAATGGACTTTTGTAGACTCTAAAGGATGGATGGATCGATTTCTGTGTTCTTTCTTTCTTGTACTTTATAACTCAGTTTTCCCATAACCATGAGTAGTTATTTCAAGTAGAAAATGGTCAGACCGGAAAACATCATAAAGTACCCCAACATTTACAACAGATTTTGTTGTGGCTGACTGATTATTGTTTTAGTCGTTGTACAACGACTAATACAGTATTCTTACTAAATTATATATTTGCAGGTTGTTGTTACGTTCGGAAACATTTTATGAATTCAACGGGGCCGCCTAAAAACAAATTCTCGACGCCTAAATCATTCCCAATTTTATTTTCTTCAATTAATTTGTTAACGTAGATAGGTTTGATTACAGAATTATGAGAAATAACAACATATAGAAAATTTGTAAAAGCGTGAGTGCAATGATTACCTTGCTTTTATTGTATTTTCTGTAATATACTCGAGCAGTTTCTTTTTAGTTATTATAGAATTAATAATAGATTCGCTTACGTTAGCCTAGTTTGGTAAATGTATTTATTATAACATTTAGAGCATAATTCACATTAATTCTATAATGGGAGATATTTTTAAAGTTTGAAAATAAAGTGCTCGTATTTACAGAATTTGTGGTCGGTTATAAGTAATACAACAAAAAGTGTTAAAAGAGTATATGTGTGTAATTAAACAATGACGATTACTATCGATATACTCGTCCATCTTACACCCTATTGAAATGTGATGATTAGAACTTATAATAACCTGGCCGCGCGAATGGAGTTGTAATCTCAATGACAATATGTGAGAGGACTTTTCTTGTGTTCGTGCAAAAAAAAAACATACATTCTGGAACATTTTTGTGATCATATTTAAGGTAAACTATTACCACGGAGGTTAATTGCAATATGAGAATTCTAATAAGAACGCTTTGTAAATTACGACTTGACATAATGTATGTAAAATGTTTGCAATGAATTATTTCAAAAATGAAACCAATGACAAAAAACAATTGTACTAGCGTTTAGGGTAGGTTTCTTATCTTTTAGCCACCCAATTTTGTGACGAATTCTTTTTTTACACAAATAATATTTTTTGTTGAAAGGATTTATTATATTTAAAATAATTATCGTGTAGGCAGATAAAAATATTATAATTACTATACGAATATTTTTTCTATAAGTCGTATTTTGTGAGATCCATTTTTGATTTATTTTATATTAAGGTTTACACTAATGTTTGCATATTGTGTTATTTAATTTAATAGAATTATGTAAAATTCTGGTGCTTATACGTTTATAATAAAATGCTGTTAGTCCTAATATAATAATTTACTTAAATAACTAGTGATTTAACGATACATAATGTTGCCCACACTATACCGGTTATTATTTACTATAGAACAAAAACTGATAAAGATATTTTTATCCTACAGCATGGGTAATCTTTTCCAGGTGTTTGTTCGTGTCTATTACGCATTAAATTTGCAATAGTAATTTAATTGTTATTAAAAGTATTTGATATTTAATTTTTATCAGACTTCCAACCTCTAAATCGAATCAAAGATAATCATTTTTATTAATTAGAACTATTTTTTAGGTTACATAATGTTAATAATTGAAGTTCACTTTTGACTGATTTTTGTTTAGAAAACAAAGAAATTTCAAAATCTTCCACACAGTCTGTTATAAGGCCTGCAGAGAAATATTCTGAGGCAACTGTAATTGTTATTATTACCCTAAAAAGTCAATTTATTCGTCACTTTATTTTTCAAATTTGTAAATTTAAAAAATAAAACGTTCAGCAAGCACGACAACGTCGCTAGCACGCGTGGCTCTCCCACCATCCTGCGAGGGAACGGTAACGTGCGCCGTCGTGCGCCCGCTTTTATCAGTATTGTATCGGTATCTTTACATCCCTACAAAAGTTTTTAGCAGTTTTGGTAGAAAATTTTAATTATTCGCATTATACCAAAAGTTATTACGTAGTTTGTAGTCTTTTTTACAAACTGGCTTCAGTAAAGGTAAAGTGTAAAGTGTACGTATGAATATTATAGTACAATATGTAATACTAGATCAATTTAAGAAAGTCAAGTGTGTTTTATTTATACTTCACAAGCTCTTCGGAAAATTAAGTATGTGGCACTTAATATTTGTAACTTTTATTAAAAATAAGAAATATTATAAATCAGTCTCTGCCTTAAGGCAGTTTAATTTATAATAGTTTGACAATTTAGCAACCTAAAATTAACTAAAATCACACTGCCTTTGTACATTTTTAAACAAGTAAATTTTAGATAGCGTGTCTAAAACTTGCAATTTGTAATACTGTTCCATTTGTTATATGTATGTAGATAAGGCAATAATCTCCCAGCACACCAGAAAGATTGCAGAACGCCTTGTTTGAAACGCTATTGGCACCTTACACAAAGGCTGGTCTATAGTCTATAAATGGAAACCCTTGCATTTTACTGTATATATGATACGAAAACACTATTTTAAATTTATTTAATCTAGTCTCCGCTTGTAAAAATGACGTTTGATCATATGATGCTTAATTTAATATTTAATATTTTGTGTGATAGAGTATATCATCATCGTTTCAGTATTATATTTTTATTTTTTTTTCATATTTTTTATTATAATAGGGTGTAATTTGTTAAAATATAATTATGTTTCCTAATATATTTTTAAATCATATAAACTGTTGATTTATTTTTCAATTACTTTATTTCAGTGAAATAAATATTTATTTAAATGAAATGTTTTACTGAATATTTCCCTTGATTATTAATTTTTCAGTACAAATCAAATAAATAAAACCAAAAGAATCTGAAAGAAAATCAAGCGCGGTTGGATGGGACGGATTATCCACTAGTATATTAAAAAAAATATAGACAATTCTAGTACCACCATTAACCCATATTTTCAGAATTTGTCTCTCTGAAGGAATTTTCCCAGATTGTTTAAAAAAAGCAATTGTAGTTCCAGTATTCAAATCGGGGGGACAAAAAAAACGTCTCCAATTATCGGCCTATCTCAATACTCTCATCCACGTCTAAAATATTAGAAAAATTAATTAACAACAGATTAATGAATTATTTACAAAGTAAATCCATATTATCGAATATGCAATATGGTTTCAGGCCTAAAATGTCCACTGCTGATGCTGTGCAGGAAATGGCCGATTACGTCTCTCAAGAATTAGATAAAGGCAACCAATCAATTGGCATTTTCCTTGACCTTGCAAAAGCATTTGATACGGTTTCTATTCCTATCCTATTAAATAAGTTAGAGAGCATAGGTATTCGAGGTAAGCAGCTTCAACTTTTTAAGAATTATTTAGAAAATCGATATCAATGCATAAAAATCGATAAGGTTGTTAGCTCTGAACAAAAAAGTACTCATTTTGGCGTGCCTCAAGGAAGTGTATTAGGGCCAACCCTATTTTTGATTTATATAAATGACCTTTGCAATCTTGAACTTAACTCAGGTAAAATAATATCTTACGCAGATGATACCGTGCTACTTTTTTCCGCAAATACAGTTGACAAGGTTTATTCATATGCTCAGCAAGGTTTATAGGGTTAATAAATGGCTCCAACAAAACATATTAACACTGAATACGGACAAAACCAAATATATTCATTTTTTCATGCGCAGCTCAACCCAGCATATAACCATTCCAGAACTTTATGCACATCAATGTTACTCAGTCACAGAGTCTAAATGTTACTGCCCAGTTATTTCTAATACAAAAACTGTTAAGTACCTTGGAATAATTATAGATTCTACGTTTACATTTAAAAACCACATAAACCACCTATGCAATAGAGTTCGTAAACTAATGTTTGTTTTTAAAAAAATTCGTTCTTTTGCTGATAATAAGGTAGTAAAACAAGTATATTACGCATTATGTCAGTCAATACTCACCTATTGTATAACCTCTTGGGGTGGAGCAGCTAAAACTACACTACTACCACTGGAACGCGCTCAAAGAGCTGTATTAAAAGTTGCAACATTCCGCCCTATTCTATTTCCATCCCATCTCTTATACAAATCCTATAATGTCCTCTCAGTGCGCCAGTTATTTGTTATGAGCATGTTACTAAAACAGCACTTAAGATTGCCTTATAGAAGAGAGGTCACTGATAAAAGGCGCATAGATAAAGTAATTGAAACTAACATTAGAATAAGGCATTATTTCATGCATAGATTTTTTACATTTCTCGGCCCTTTTTTGTATAATCAAGTCAATGCAATTTTGTATACATATCCATTAAAAATGGCAGACTGTAAAAAGGTAATTCGAACATGGTTACAAAATTTGTCATACGATGATACGGAGAAGTTGTTGATTGTTTTAAGTTAATTAATATCATAAGTAAATTAATGCTAATGTATTTTACCCAAATAACCCTTATTAGTTAGTACGTTATTCATTTTATATAAGAAACAGAAAATATTTATTAATGTATCTTTTAGCACATACACCTGAGATACAGGTTTATCCTAGTTCAGGTGCCTGTTATTGTAGACTATTTTTAAGTTAAGACTTATTGGAATAATTTGTACATTTTATCAAAATAAAATAAATTATTATTATTATTATATAATACCGGAAAAATACAGCCTAGCTCCCTAGCTCTCCTTCGATAGAAAGTTATTCACCATAGAACTCCCATCAGTCATATAAAATATAAAAGTAGTAAGTACCTATAGAAATGGACCGAGGAGTTCTTACTAGAACTTTTTCACTGGTCCCACGTAAGCAACGTATGCAATGCATTATGACATCAGAACGCTTGATTTGTATGAAAAACTATACATTAGAAACAGACTGATGCAACGTATGCGATGCAACGCTTCCACGTTGGTGTATACACTTGGCCTGCTATGCAACGTAGCGTACGTTTGGCGCCAGACACCCTTGTTACGTAACGGGCGCACGACTACAAATTTATACTATGTTTTCTGATACTGAGAATGAGTTAGAGAATTATTTTCTTAGTCTGAGGTTCATAAACGAATATATCCATGCCACAAAGAAAACGTTTAGGTACTGATTCTGTCATAATTTATAATGCAAATAAATAAATGAATATGTAGAATACAGTGTGTTATTTTAGCAATATAAAATCATGTTTCATATTTTAACATGACTAGGATAGAAATACAAAAACTACTCTTTTAATTTCATACCTACTCAATCTTACACTCACTAGATATACTTATATAATTTATCTTTTTCCCATACTGTATATCGTAATTTAGCATAGTGCATGCATAGAAAAAGAAAGGAAACGTGCGTTGCACTGCACTATGATCAAGTGAGAGTGAGCACGCAATGTCATTCTCTATTTTTCGCACACGTTAATTCGTGAACCGAGTGGCTACGCCTCTTGAGATTTTGCGTTTTTATAAAATATCCCTTAACGCAATAGTTTATTCTTTGTTCCATTAGTGTTAGAGATATGTGTACTATGTCTCCCGATTCGCATCGCCGCACGCTCGCTCGGGCGACGTTAATTTGTGCTCATTGTTGTACCCCGTGTAGTGGCGGTTGATAATATCCACTACCCCATATCTTCTTGTGGGTGTCGTAAGAGGCGACAGAGGGAGACAAGCAGGAGATGGGCAGCAGCATCTTCCTGATAACAGCAATGATATAATAAAAAACTGCGGTTGCCAACCCGCTCGCCAAGCGTGGCAACTATGGCAAATATCCCCCATGAGTAACGACGCAAACGGCCCCCAGTCCCCGGCGGGACCGCGATTCCTGGCTACGGTGGCGACCATGGTAACGGCGGGGCAGGGGGTACTAAGAATCTCCGGTGGAGGTTCGGTTGCCACCTACGACGTCTCGACCTGGCAACATATAACGCACGCACCCTGAGGACTGACGAGAAGATACTGAAGTTGGAAGAAGAGGTAGACAAGTTGCGCTGGCATAGGCTGGAGGTCCGAAGAGAGGGGGAGGGCACGGTAATTCTCGAGTCCGGCAACTTGTTCTATCACCGGGAGGGCGACCATCTTTCCCAAGGAGGTGTCGGATTTATTGTCAACAAGTCTCTCGTCAACAACGTTGTAAAAATTGGGAGTGTGTCGACCAGGGTCGCGTACCTGATACTCAGAATCACCAAACGGTATTCGCTGAAGGTCATACAGGTTTACGCACCAACCTCGGCACATCCCGATGAGGAGGTGGAGGAAATGTATGAGGATATTTCTAGAGCCATGCATTCCTCCAAAACCCACTACACGGTGTTGATGGGAGACTTCAACGCAAAACTAGGCACAAGAGAAAGCGGTGAGCTGAAGTTAGGGAAATTTGGAGTAGGGCAACGGAACCGTAGGGGCCAGCAGCTGGCCGACTTCATGGAGAAAGAGGGAGTCTTTATGATGAACTCTGTCTTCCAGAAGCGGCCCCACAGGAACAAACTGGACCACGAAGTAGACCTGGTCGAGCCCCGACGGATCGACAAAAAGTTAGATTGACTTCATTATGACAACCAGACGCCAACTGTTCAGTGATGTCTCAGTGATCGCAAGGGTGAAGACTGGCAGCGATCAGCTAATGGTTAGAGGCACACTGAAACTAAACTTTAAGTTGGAGAGGTCTCGTCTAATGAAGTCAACGCTCCGTCCCCCTCGTGCTCTAAACCAGAATCCCGAAACCTTTCAGCTCGAGTTACGTAACCGCTTTCAGTGCCTAGAAGATTGCAATGCAGTGGACGATATGAATGACAAGCTCGTGGAAACTGTCCATGCGGTCGGAGCTAAGTTCTGCAAGACCGACCGCAGAAGAACACAAAAGCTCTCCGATCACAATCTTAATCTCATGGCTGTTAGACGGGAGATGAGGCTGCAATCGTCAACAGATTTGACAGCATACAGGCAACTGAACAGACAGATCTCCAAATGCATGCGGCGAGACTTACGCAAATTTAATACTGTTCGTCAATACGAGAAGCTTCAATAAGAAGCGATTGAGCGGAACCAGGGCTCCAAAGTCTTTGCCAGAGATCTGTCTGCCAGTAAGAGCAAACTGTCAAAGCTGAAGACTGAGTGTGGCAGCATCGTTTCCGGGTCACTTGAGATTCTGAGTGAGATCGAGAGGTTCTATGGGCAGCTGTACACATCATCGTTGGAGCCACACGCAAGTGTGAGTAACGATCCAAGAGCAAGTCTTATCCGACACTATTCCGATGATATCCCGGACGTCAGTCTGAGCGAGATTAGAATGGCTCTTCAGCACCTTAAAAACGGCAAGTCCCCGGGCGAGGATGGAATTACAGCGGAGCTTCTGAAAGCGGGTGTAAAACCTGTACTTGAAGTCCTTCAGTGGCTCTTTAATTCCGTCCTCCATGGTGGCACTACTCCGGAGGCGTGGAGCAGAAGTGCGGTGGTCTTATTCTTTAAGAAAGGCGACAACGCTCTTTTGAAGAACTACAGACCGATATCCCTTCCGAGCCGCGTCTACGTGCTGTTTTCGAGAGTCATTACGAATCGTCTCGCACGCAGACTTGACGACTTCCAGATTCCCGAACAAGCCGGTTTCCAAAAAGGCTTTAGTAACATAGACCACATACATACCCTTCGGCAAATTGTACAGAAGTCCGAAGAGTACAATCTGCCACTTTGCCTGGCGTGTGTGGACTACGAGAAAGCCTTTGATTCTGTCGAAATTTAGGCGGCGGTCTCTTCAGCGGTGCCAAGTTGACTGTCAGTATATCGAAGTGCTGAAGTGTTTGTACAGTAGGGCTACGATGGCTATCCGAGTAAAGAACCAGACTACGAAACCTATCCAACTGCAGAGAGGTGTAAGACAGGGTGACGTTATTTCCCCGAAACTCTTCACCGCTGCATTGGAAGACGTTTTCAAGCTACTGGACTGGAAAGGATACGGTATTAACATCAATGGCGAGTACATCACTCACCTTCGATTTGCCGACGATATAGTCCTTATGGCAGAATCGCTGAAGGACTTAAGCACTATGCTCAATGACCTCGATAGTGCCTCCCAACGGATAGGTCTTAAGATGAACATGGACAAAACAAAGATCATGTTTAATGTCCATGTCATGTCATGTCATGCCGGTAGTTGTTGGGAGCACTAAGTTGTTGACGAGTACGTTTACCTAGGACAAATAGTCCGGCTAGATAAGTCCAACTTCGACCGAGAGGTCAATCGACGGATTCAACTCGGCTGGGCTGCGTTCGGGAAATTACGTTACATCTTCTCCTCAGGTATACCTCAAAACCTGAAAACGAAATTGTACAACCAGTGCGTGTTGCCAGTGATGACATATGGAACTGAGACGTGGTCCTTCACTGCTGGCCGTATGGGGACGCTCAAAGTCGCACAGCGAGCTATGGAGAGGGCTATGCTCTCTCTCTGCGTGATAAACTTAGAAATGAGGATATCCGCAGTAGAACCAGAGTGACCTACATAGCCCAACGGATTAGTAAACTGAAGTGGCAATGGGCCGGCCATATAGCTCGAAGAACCGACAACCGTTGGGGAAAAAAGGTTCTCGAGTGGCAGCTTCGTACCGGTAGACGAAGTGTAGGGCGACCTCCCACTAGATGAAGTGACGACCTGGTAAGACATGCAGGAAGTCGATAGATGCAGGTGGCTCAGGACCGTGCTTTATGGCATACCTTGGGGGAGGCCTATGTTCAGCAGTGGACTTATAAAGGGCTGTAATGATGATGATGATACGATATCGTACGTGAAATTTACAGCGAGCGCTAACCATCTGAGCTACCACGGCTCTGTCGAACGTGAAAAAGATTGCTCGCGTTCCCACTACAGTTCATCTTGGTAACTTAGCGTTCGTCTATTGTTGGATAGTGCCTCACAACGTAATTTTATAACGCATAAATATTGTCAACGTTTAGGATTATTTGCAAATAAGGCGCCTTCACGTCCCGTTGTGAAGAGAATTAAATTAAAGGCTTCAATAAAACGGTCCAAGGTTCGATAAATTAAAATTTTATTTGTATTTCGATGGCAGTATTCATTTTAGTATAAATTCATTAGATGTAGACAAAGTGGCCGAGCGTTTGCCTACTGTTTCGGTCGACGCCTTTGCGAAGACTAATTTCAATAATTTGGCTTTAGCGGATGACACTTACTTTATCCCTGGGGACATTGCTCTTTTGGGCATCTATTTTCCCTCACCTCTTGTTATATAACAAGGTTAAGGGTAACTCCTTGTGTATCGCACCTTACTAAACCGTTGAAAACCATTTTAGGTTATGTTATTGTTGGTGCCGCTCCTACTGTAGATAATATTTCGACGAATTCTTATTGTTGTACCACTATTGAACCTCACGAATTATTAGTTAACAAATTTTGGGAGATTGAGGAAGTGAACGTTCCGCCTATACTTAACCCGGATGATAGATTATGCGAGGAAATTTATTTCCACACGACCGTTCGTGATCGTGATGGTCGATATATTGTAGCACTACACTTTAAGGGTGATATTTTATCTCTCGGTGACTCGCGTCAAACGGCAGAATAACGTTTTTATTGTTTGGAGCGCAAGATGCTCACTTTGCCCAAATTAAAGCAAGACTATGACAATATTATTAACGAATACATAAAAGGGGGGCTTTAAATAGCTTGCGCCTCCAAATATGGATAACTGTAGAGACGCCGTCATATTTTATACCGCATCATAGTGTAATTAGGGAAGACAAACTTACATCTAAGTTACTTGATGCTAGTGCTATAACTAGCACCTGCCTCACCCTTATGGCATATACATGGCAACCTATTTAATATAATAGTAAATTTTCATTAGTTTCATGTTGCACTATCTGCTGATATCCGCCAAATTTTTCTTTGCTTTGGGGTCGTGGATGCGATCGTCGATTCCAGCGCATTTCATATCGCTTTAATCCATAGGAGCCTCTAAAGGTGTTTGAATTTAATCGCGTTTGCTTTGGTTTAAAGTCAAGTCCATTTAATGCGCTGCGCACTGTGAAGCAGCTCGCTGCTGATGAAGGTTCCCCTTACTCTAAAGGTAGTAAAGCAATTGAGAGTGTTCTGAATATGGACGATTTCGTATACTCAGTCGATAACATAGAGGAAGCCATCTCAACCACCGCTGAAGTTATAAAACTCATGAAAGCAGGTCAATTCGATCTCATCAGGTGAACGAGTAATTCGTGTACTGTTTTAAATACAATCCCACTGTCACATCGTCTTTCGGCTGTAAAGGAATTTGACGATTATGATTCGCACAAGGTGCTCGGTTTGTGTTGGTCGCCTGAATCACAAATGTGTTTAGTCTTAAGGTAAAAACGCCCGCTGAGACCTGGCACAAAGCGCATGATATTATCATGTGTTGCTAGATTACGGGATGTCATGGGATTTGTAGCACCTGTGGTATTGTATGCTAAGCTTTTGATTAAACAACTTTGGTTGTGTGAGTGTGATGTGGCTACGCTTTATGGAGGAAATCTTTATTAAGTGAAATTAAAATACCACGTCATGTCAATATCAGTAAGGATAGCGTCGTCACTGTCGTTGGTTTTGAAGACGCTAGCGAGAAATCTTACGGGGGCGTTGTATATTTTTACTTCCAGAATGATGGTGAGGATTCGTTCAGCTTTATTAGCTCTAAATCAAAGGTTTCCCTTCGTAAGGTTGTCTCTCTCACACGCCTCAAGCTTTGCGCAATTTTGGTTCTTGCCAAGCTTATCACAGCTGTTGTTAGTACATGTAATAGTCGCATTCATATCCATAAAATATTTGCCTCTGACTCAACAGTCGTTTTATGTTATTTTAAGTATCCCAACGATGGGGTGAGGAATGAACCCACATTCCTCACCCCATCGCTGGGAAACTTTCGTCGCAAATCGAGTGGCCAAGATCCAAAACGAGTTAGTATCGCAAAATTTCTATTATATTCGCGGTGCAGAAAATCCTGCCGATTGTATGTCGCGTGGACTTACTTCGGTGCAAATTATAGATCACCCGCTTTGGTTTCAAGGACCTTCTTGGATTCAGTTAGGACCCTTGCAATGGCCTATAGTTGATTTTAACCCTTCTTCAATATCACAACCCCCGGAAGAAAAGAAACACTCTCTGGTTGCGAATACTTCAAGTGAAGTTTCTCCAATAATTATCTTAGCAAGCCGTTTCTCTTCCTGTTTGAAATTATTGTGTAGCCTAATGTACGTTTGCCAATTTTTGAAGCTTTTACCACTATGTCATTATATCACCGCAGCCGATTAGAACTATGCAGAATTATTAACATTTCGTGAACTTCAACGTTCACACTTTATCGATGAGATTTCAAGGTTGCAATCAGGCAAGTTTTGTAGTCGCACTTTTCAACGCCTAAAACTATTTCTACAGAATGGGATTATTAGGGTGGGTGGTCGTTTATCTAACTCGTATTTAAGTTTCACTTAACGACACCCTGGAGCCGTGGTAGCTCAGATGGTTAGCGCTCGCTGTAAATTTCACAGTACGCTAGCAAACCGGGTTCGATCCCCGCCGGCACCAATGAAATTGTTAATTTCAATTTTAAGTGCTGATTTACCACGTGCTCGGCGGTGAAGGAAAACATCGTGAGGAAATCTGCATGTCTGAGAAATAAGAAAAAAAATATTTCGAAGACATGTGAAGTTCGCCAACACGCATTGGGGCAGCGCGGCGGACACTTCCTTGCCTTAAACCCTCTCAGAAATGAGGGGAGGCCTGTGCCCAGCAGTGGGACGTATATAGGCTGTAACTTTAACTAACTTTAACGACACCCTATTGTTTTACCGCGTAAGGGTTATATTTTGAATTTATTAGTCGATTATCACCACAAATTGAATTGTCACGCTGGCCCTGAATTATTGGTCTCTATTTTGCGTCAGAACTACTGGATTCTTCCCGCTCGCAACTTAATTCGCAATCGGGTGCATAAATGTATCTATTGTTTTCGAGTTCGTCCTAGGCCGCCTTGTTTTTTATTTGGGTCCTGTTGTACGTCTCTGTCTTTTACCTAACCAATAATTTTCGAATTGCTTTCTAGGTTAGGTTAGTAGTTTAGCTTTAGTTCGTTTTGAGGGAAACCCTTCAAGCCCGGGGGGAATGGTTGCGCCAACGCAAACCTTTTAATTTCGTATTTGTTGATATATTTTGTTAGTGGGGTTTGTTGACATAATCCCCTCGCTATCGTTCCTTCCCCGCACGGGCCTGCCTAATGGGGGGAGCTAGATACTGATGGACGCATCTTTGGCCCTCCAATGGAAGGCACGCTCCGCCAAGGTGAAAGGGGAGACGGCGGGAGCTATAAAACACGCGCCGCCATTGTCGCCTCCAGTGCAATACAATTTTGGTCGTGTTCGCAAGTCGACAACAGTGCGCAATTATCATCGTGCCCGCATGGCCGGCGTGGCGTGGAGAGAGGCTGCTCGCCGCTTACTCCAGGTAAGTGCCCATCCTTATTTATGAGCTGTTTTATTTGTCGTGTCTTTATCCGTAGCAGCTCATTTATCCGCAGCAGCTCTCGCTTCGTGTCAGCCAACACCACAAATTAATTTCAAACTAAGTATATTGTCCAAAGTCCGCCACGTGCCACGTCCGCCATTTTGTTTTGGTTCCTTTTGAACCATGCTAATACAGTCCACTTGATCGTTCGCCCCGCCATACCTCTCATCACTTTCGCGCACCCAATAATGGTTAACTATTTCAAAAATTGTCAAACTACCACCAAAATTCTGACTGTGAACGTCAGAGCGAAATAAAATTCATGTTAACATTTAAAGTATTTATTTACAACTTACAATTTTAGGAGCAATACAATAAGTCTACAATGCGGTCCTTGTAACAAGGCACGAAACAAAGTTCGAACATTATTTTTGCTACCTATGTTATGTACTTGAGTTTTCAATATCAACGTAAACAACAAATATTGCTAATAAAATATTAGGAATCCTAAACAAAATATCTTACGAGACTAGATTGCGGAATGTTCTACTAAAAATTTTACTAAAAGGGCTTTAAATTCAAACTGTGACATTAAAAATCTATTAAGTAGCTGTGATAAAAAAAATATGGGCCAATTGTTACAGAGCGTTATTTTTAGTATATATCAGTTATTCTTCT